GTCTGGTGGTCTTTTAAAAAGATATGTAGAACGACCTGATTGTTTGCAAAATGTGACGCTGGCCGATTGGGCAGCATGGTACGACTCTTGTGGTCAAAAAACATATAGGGAAAACAAACAAGCCTGACGTTGATAATCTTCCATTAGAAAATAATGATGAAGATAATGACGACGAGTTGTTAATAAATGACGATAATCTTCACGTTGTAAAAACTCCTGAAAATATGAAAATAAGGAAAAGATCTCGAGCTAGAGTAATCCGAAGTGTCTGGTTCAATAAAGAGACTCAACCTGAAAAACATTATCGCGAGTTAATTATGCTCTTTACTCCTTGGCGAAATGAACAAACCGATTTGATGGGAAATTCCTGTTTTGAAGAGCACTATTTAGCTCGAAATGAAGAAATCAGTAAGCAAATGGAACAATATGCTGTTTGTAGTGAAGACTTAAATGAAATTGGACATCATTTAGACGAATGTGATGATGATGCTTTTGATACCATTGCACCTGTGACACAAGATGTTGAACGACATGATCAGGATGAAGGATGCGTGGATACACATCCTGATTTAAACGAAACATTTGATCATCTTGCTGAAAATTTGGGCATACCGTCTTCTTTACCAAATAATGAGCCGTTGATTTTAAATGAAATGCAAGATAACGAATATCGAACCTTAGTTCAGCTGCTAAATAAGAAGCAAAGAGAATTCTTCTATCATGCTCTGCATTTGATAAAAACATCAGAAAACCATTTTACGCATTTCTCAGTGGAAGTGGAGGTGTCGGAAAGTCTCACCTTATTAAATCGATATACCAGGCAGCATTGAAGTATTACAATTCACGAGCAGGGGACGATTTTCATCGTGTTCATATATTATTGCTTGCTCCAACAGGAAAAGCTGCATATCTTATAAAAGGTAACACGATTCACAGTGCCTTGCGCATTCCAGCCAGTCAGTCATTGAAAAATTATAAACCATTGGATTCTGGAAGACTGAATACGATGAGATGCGAACTAAGTTCATTAAAGTTAATATTGCTTGATGAGATATCAATGGTTGGCAACAGCATGTTCACCATTCAATTGAACAACCGTTTAAAGATTTAAAAGGTAGCAAAGAAGATTTCGGCGGTGTCAGCATAATCACAATGGTGACTTATTTCAACTCAAACCTGTAATGGATGGTTACATTTTTACAGATGTTCAGTCTTTAAGTTCTTATGATGTTCTTGCCCCGAACTTATGGAGAAAATATTTTAGAATGTTTGAGCTTGATGAAATCATGCGACAGAGAGAAAGCAAGATTTTTGCAGAGATACTTAATCGACTTCGTGAAGGTAATCATACTCCGAGTGATCTACAAAAACTAAAGGAAAGATGTATTGAAGAGAGTGCTTGCCCCAAAGAAGCCCCACGTTTATTCATTCAAAATGCTTTAGTTGATGAATACAATGATATAGTTTATCAATCATTTGATGATCGTGATAAATACATAATCAGGGCACAAGATAGCGTAATTGGAGCCTGTTCAGCTGAACTGAAAGAAAAGATAATGAGACAAATACCACATGTTCCTTTGAAAAATTCAAAACAGTTGGCTTATAAACTGCATATTGCTGTCGGACAACGAACAGAAATTGCGGTGAATATACGCACTGATGATGGTCTGACAAACGGTGCAAGTAATGTCATTAAGCATGTTCAATTGACTGATAATACTAAACCTTCTGGCATCGTTTGGGTTCAGTTTGACGACGAAGATGTTGGAAAGAAAACCCGACAAGAAAATAGAATTCTCTATGCTCGAAGTACATCTATACTAAGTACTTGGACACCAATAAAACCTGTTACAACGCAATTTGCTGTAGGTAAAACGAAGTCTGCTCAAGTGGTAAGAAAGCAATTTCCTTTGAGGCCAGCTGCCGCGAAAACGGTTCATCGATCACAAGGTGATACTCAGTCACAAATCGTCGTTAATTTAAATACAAGAAGAGCAATTCCTCATATTCATTACGTCGCTCTAAGCCGAGTAACAACAATCGAAGGGCTATATATAACTGATCTTGCGAAAGTAAGATTTCCGTTGATCCTAAAGTTGTAGAAGAAATGCACTTACTGAGAAATGAGTATAAATTAGATCTTTGTTTCACTCCGTTGTACATGCTGAATCCCACTGATTTAAAAATTTGCTATCTTAATGCAAGATCTTTGCACAAACACATTGAAGATATACGAAAAGATATTAATTATACGTCTGCTGATATCCTAATTTTTACCGAAACGAGATTTCGTGAAGAAGATCCTGGTGAAATGTACGCAATTGAAGGCCATGAGTTATTCAGAAATGACGACGTTTCAAATCTCAACCGTCCATATCATGGAACAGCTGTTTATTCTAAACTTCCTATGATTATTGGATATCCTTGTGCAAGAAACTGTCATGGGATCGAGGTAACTATTATGAAGATGGTCGAACGTCCAGACCTAATTGTAATTGGAATATACAGATCTCCAACACTTGCATTATCATCTCTTTTGGCTGCCATTTCTACGACATTGGAGGAACATCCTTCTCCACAGGTTATAATCATTGGAGACTTTAATGTCAACTGGCTTGATGAGATAGAACGAAGATCACTGTACAATCTTATGATCAATGCCAATGGCTTCGAGCAACTTATAACTAGTTCTACAACAGATAATGGAACATTGATTGATCATCTGTATACGAATTTGATTGAAGAGGATATTAAGGCAGGTACTCTTGAAACTTACTTTAGTGATCACAAAGCAATTTGGGCCTCTCTAAAGGTAAGGAGGTAATCACATCCAGACATAGCGTTAGCATGTTACAAAAAAAACCATAGTATTGACATGGTAAGATGAACCCAGGTAAGGAGGTAATCACGTCCGACTGTAGCGTTAGCATGTTACAAGAACAACCATAGTATTGGCATGGTTAGATGAACACAGGCCAATATTTATTGGCCTGGCTCCAATTTAACTAAAGGTAAGCATTTAATTTTTCTGAGTTTTTTTTTCATTTTCTTTCCTCATGCAATTTGACCATTTCCCTTTATTTTTAGGTTCCGGTGGCATATTTTCAAATTATTCACACGAAGTCGAAGCTGAAACACTAATAATTTAAAGGTAAATAATAGATTCGTATTGCATACTAGCTATACATATGCGTTTTTTGTTTCTTTGATAACGCGAGTTTTTGCTTTTTACAGGTCTGAATCAGCTACAATCACAAAGAAGTTTTAAAAATGTCAGCGTTGCTTGTTGCCAACCGCGTGGATCAACGCTAAATTAATCCGAAGATAAAAAGACCACAACACATATATCGAAAATCCTCGTTCCTGTTTCCAGACATCTTCTCTCCACATATCGCAACTGTAATCTGTTCATCGCAGCAACGAATGCCAAACAGAAACAAAGTTCTCTGGTAACCTTACTGGTAAATGCTACTCATACCTTCATGGTAACTACTGACCAATACACATTTATATCAATGATGAATGATGGCATTCAATGTTGACTGATTGTCGGACTGATTACCACAGGGATAAGATATTGTCAACTGATAAATTTAAACTTGAAAAAGCCACGCAGTTTTTGGACCTACGAACTGGTGCTATTATGTCCAGCTAATTGATGCTGATAAGTTATCTGTAATCAACATTGCAAACCACCTGTACCTTCCTACTGGATCAATGAAATCATACTATCATCATTATCAGTTAAAATCATTATCAGTTATAATCGTGAAACGTATTGTCAATAAACTTTGGCAAACAAGTGGTAAAATCTTACTGGAGCAATAACGTTTAACCTTTATTGACTATTAACATAACTATAACATTGATTTATCAACAAAAGAACCAATCTTGTATGTAACAAAGACATGCTGATAATCAAGGGACATCAAAACGAAGTAATTTGAAAAAGTCTGAAACCTTCTTTTTCTCCTTCTAAACTAAGCTATGTTATCAGACGATGTGTGCCACCATCCCGGAACCTTACTCTCCTTTTTGTTCTGTTCACCTATTCTGCTTAAAAAATTTCATTTCCTATCTCTTGTAAAAATGCTTTTATATATGTTTTGATCTGTCGTAAAATGTATTTAATACAATAAAATATAATATATAGATTGTGTAATAAATCGACTTCGTTATAACTGTATTCAACCAGTTAACTATAGGGCGTTTATTCCGTTGTCTATGGCATTAGAAGATAAGACTAGAAAATAATATTTTATTGCATCAGTTGATAATTTACTCGCAACTATAGAACTTTATTGCAGACTAGCCTACTCATACTAACCTCCCAAGGTTGGCATTTGTATTTCTAGTTAAGCACTTTTAGAGTTTTAGACCATTTCTCATTGCAAATAAAATAATATCACATCATAGGTATCTATTTTAAATCCGTAACTTTAAGAGCGAACACATGCACACATTGTGTGCCTATTTTTTCATATATTCTTTCATGTACTTTTTTTTTCTTTTCTTAGACTCAGGACTTTGTGTTGAGGGCCGGAAACTTTCACTAGTTGGTTTTTGTTTCATATTATTCCTTCATGTACTGTATTCTTTTTTGCTTAGACACAGGACTTTGTGTTGAGGACTGGAAACTCTGACCAGCTCGTTTTTGTTTCCTATATTCTTTTATGTACTGTTTTCTTTGTTCCTTAGATTCAGGCCTTTGTGTTGGGGGCTGAGAACTCTCACTAGCTGGTTTTCTTCTAAAACATTCTTGTAGGAACTGGATCTTCCTTTGGTCAAAGTATGGGTTCTGGACATACAATCTCATTATTATCTCTGTTCCTAATAATTTCAGTTATTTTTATTCTGCTAGTATCTAATACTTGTGAAGAATTCACCTCATTATGAGAGAAACCTGACACAGAAGTTTAGTACAATGTTGATACATAATGATACTCATCTACATGACCCAAATAAATATCAGTTAATTGCTGTGTTGAGGACACTGGTTATACAATACTGTACTCCTGAAACTGTTCATGTGTCTCGGCAATAGTAAGTTTTAATTGTAGCTGGTCAGCTACAGCTTGCATATTTATAGCATCAGCCCACGTCCCTGGCATAGACATATTATTAAGGTACTCTAACCAAGAGTTTTCAGTATTGCTTTTAATAAATCTCTCAGGAATATCTCTCAGGTATGCAACACCTGCTGCACCTGCAATCTCCCCGACCATTGGCAGTTGTCCGTCACCTTTGACTATTCGATGCAATTCCATAAGGCTGTGAATATATTCTTTGTGCCAACGGTTCCACGTGTGTTGTCTGGCAACGTTGAGAGGTCTCTGCATCTTCGTAACTTCACTTTCGTCTTGTTCTCGATCTTCCAAAATATGTGAATCGTCACCCCATAAAATGGTATTGGGTGGCAGTACTTGCGGCTCCCCTCCATCGCTTTCAATGTAGGTAAGTGGGCGGTTGTTTAGGTGGTGTTCGATGTCCATTACCACTGCACTTAATTGCTCAAACGTAAGAAGAGTCTTGCCTAGTGTCTTATATAATGTCTTCTTCACTTCCTTTATGATTCTTTCGTACATTCCTCCCCACCAAGGGGATTTGGCTAAATTGAACTGCCAGGTTTGTTTCGCTGGAGAATCTTGTAGTGCTTTGCTTTTCCGGATCTTTCTTATCCACTGGGCCGTAGCTTTAAAGACTGCTGTGTTGTCTGAAATGATGCGTTGTGGTTTCGTCTTCCGCCATATGAAGGCGTTTAACTTGTCTTGGAATTCTTCCGCGGTCTGTGACTTTGTGACTTTCAGATGAACAGCACGCGTGACTGAACAGGTGAAGATAATAATAGATGGTTTGCCTTCTTTATTCTTGCTGACTTTGTGAACCAACGGCCCGGCGAAATCAACGCCCGTGGTTTGAAAGGGCTTACTCGCTTTCGTGCAAAACTGTGGTAGAGACGATGTGTCCGTCTTACCGTATGGCTTTGTTGAGAAATCTTTACAGGTATGGCAACCATTTATTGCTTTCTTTACTAATGATCTCAACCGTGGAACCCACCATTCCTCTCGAATAGCACCCATGGTACTAGCAATTCCCAAATGCAGCGTCTGTTCGTGATCATGGCAAATCAGTTTTTCAACAAATGATCCGTTTTCTAGGTAAATTGGTGAATAACCTTTAATCCTTCCCACACATCTCAGAATCTTCGTTTCCTTGTCTCTATTCAACCTCCAACCGCTACTCTGTGTCTTCTGGAATGTGTCCTTGTACTTTTCGTATCCATACATCTCTTGAGTGTGTTATCTCGTTCGTGGTCAACGGACCCTTTATCATTTCTGTCTGTCTCTTTTTTGCTCGACTGTTATGGACGAATCGTAATACCCAAGCGGTAATTCTTAGAGTGTTCCAATAAGGTTTACGGCGTAGCAAGAGATCACACTCGTCTGGTTGGTTCTCATTAACGAATGCAACTATTTCCTTTGATCGGCTTTGCTTTGTCTGTCACCGAGGACGAGTGCTGCAACATTTGCCTGGGAAGGCCAATCGTGTTCGTTGAGTAGCCACTCAGGACCATCGAACCTATCTTTGTTCTCCATTTGGTTGAGCGTAGCACCTCGGCCTCTCCGCATCTGCAACATTCTTCTCCGTTGGCACATACTTCCATTGAATATCGATTTCCGCCATTATTTCCGCGATCTTTTTCACTCTGTTTGCAATGAACACCTTCCATGATTTTCCGGGGCTTGAAATCCAGCAAAGAGTGACCAGGCTGTCCATCCAGATGGTAACTGATCTGACAGGTAGTCTCTTCAGAGCATTGACAAGATTCCTCGCTAAATTTTCTGCCATCTGACCACTAATTAGCTCCAAGCGTGCGATAGATGTGTTCTGCTTAGATGTGTTTCGCTTCAGGATTTTGATGCTAGAAATCCTTTCACTGTTCCTGTGTCATGTTCGTCAACAGCAATAGACACTGCAGAGCACGCCAAATTGCTCGCGACAGCAAAGAGATGTCCTCCTCCATGATGGCTGTAGCTTCGAGCTTAAATTCCTTCAACTCTTCGACACTGTCCCCAGTCTTCATTAAGTTATCCACATAGGTGTTCTCCTGAAGCGTGAGCAGGTATCAGTATGCTTCTCCTGTGGTTGGTTATTGTAATGGTGTCGCAAGGTGGCTCCGAGAAGGAAGGGGCTCGCTTCCATGCAGAAGGGTATTCTGGAAAATCTGAATTGCTCTTCCGTTCCGTCTATCAATTCAAATACAAATCGAAAAGCGTCTCTGTCCTCCGGCTTCAATCTGACTTGAAGGAATGCCTGCTGAATGTCACCAATTAACAAATTCGGAGCCATTCGGGCTCTTATAAGTATGTCCCACAGCAACAGTTGTAGTGGAGAACCCTTGTAGATGCACTGATTAACACTTCGAGCAAGTGGGTTCGGCTTCGCACTGGCATCAAACAACATTCCAACCTTTGTGGTTGTAGCAGAAGACTTCACTACTGGTTTATGTGGCATATAAAACACACGACTTCCGGTTGGTTCCCCCGAGACCCTCTCAACGATTCCTTTCTCAAGCTGTTGGGTTACAATATTCCGGTATTCTGCTTTTACGCTGGGGTCTTGATTGAGTTTCTTCGTGACTGAACGCAGGCATTTCTTGCTCTGTATCTCATTTGTCACCGTAAGTTGGGCACCAGGTATCCACAGAACATTGACTTGGTACCATCCTTCCTTGTCTCGAACAATGGTCTCATTGAATTCGGTGTAAACATCCAATTCGCGACTTCGCCGCTGGAAACACGTGTAGTGTCACGTGGTCAAAATCCTGAAATGCGGACACTTTCCGGCCATAGTGTATATACAAGATACAGACAGTAGCGCTCTAATGTCAAAATCTGGGCCATCTTCTTATTTAAATCAACTGATTTACATATAGCTTGTCTGTAAAAAAATACAATGGTTGGACCGCAACCTACGAACTTCAAGGCAATGACCGTAGCCGCAATAAAGAAATATTTGCAAGCGCGTGGCGTAAGTGTCAATGGCTATCTGAAGTCTGGTCTCGTCGAAATCGCAGTCGCAGTTGAGAAGATGATGTTACCGCTAGATCCTAACTTTGAAACGGTAGAAAATGGCGACACATTGAAACAAAGGTTATTTATTCATGACGTTCAGATTGATGACCCTTTTACTATGACAATGAAGAACGATTTCATTGATTCTCCACCATTTGGACTATATGATATTTTTAACCACCTTATTATCATGCCACCGAATACGACAAGCAAGGTCTAGCTGCCTATAAGTCCTTCGAAGACTACCGACTTTTTCAAGATGGTTATGTTCGATCACTAAAAACTGTGAGTGTAATAGATGCAGGGGTATATGTATATGTCGGCCAGGTGCAACCAACTATGCGAACAAAAACTGATGGGGGGAAAGACTGTTATTCGTTGTGGTTCATCTTGGAAGGTCGAGGGGCAAACAGAGGGAGTGTGCTTGATGCATTTTGTGAATGTAAGGGTGGACGGGACGGTGGTTGCAAGCATATAGCAGCTGCAATGTACTCACTAGAAGAACTGTTAAACCAGGATGGAAAAAAGAGTGTGACAAGTGCCCCTTGCTTGTGGATGCCAAAACCACAATCCTCCAGTCAGCCATGTGCTGTAGACCAACTGGAAATCATTAAAATCAAGTCACCAGCTGGGAAAAAAAGAAAGAGGAACTATACATGGCTACAAAACATTGATTTTGACCCTCGAAGTCCAAAGCATTGCAAGGTTTCGCCCATGACAAAGGAGCGTTTTACTGAGAGGCTCAGTGCTGTTTCTGATACCACATCCAACAATGATTCATCACCACCTGCACCAGTTATACTGCCCCTTTTACAGAAGCTATATTTAAAAAAAACTGATGAAAATCATAGTGGCAAGGAGTCCGACTCCCAAACTTTGTGTGGCAAGGAATGCAGCATGAATCAAAGCACTGGAATAATGAGGCAAAAGGTGGAAACTTACATTCGGGAATCAACTGAAAAGAACCCTGAAAAGTTCCGAAACATGCTATATTTTACTGATGGTGAAATTAATCATGTAGAGGAAGTCACCCGGGACCAGTGGCAATGCGATGATTGGTATGAGCACAAAATTGGTTTTATAACAGCTTCAAAGTGTAAAGATGTTTGTACAAGGCAAACAACATTAGAAAAGAAGAATGATTTTGGTACTACTGCTCTTGCAAGAGCTATTGCAACACAGCCAAAAAAAACAGTAAAGAGGATGGGGATTAAAACATGAAGAGTCAGCCAAAGATTCCTATTTACATGTGCAAAAACATTTGCACTATAATGTGAAACTTCTGAAGATGGGATTTCTTATTTCAAAGAAAAAACCATTTGTGGGTGCAAGTGCTGACAACATAAGAACATGTGAATGTGCAAGTGGATGCAAAGATATACTTGTGGAGTATAAGTGTCCATGGGTACATAGAAATCTTGACCCCAAAGAAGCATTTCTTACAAAAGAAATAGGGGGTGTGAAAGTGGATAATGTTGAGCAACTGAGGCCAGATTCCAAGTATTACCACCAAGTTCAAGTGATATTATTCGTAACTAACCTTGATACTTGTGACTTTGTTGTTTGGACTTTAAAGGGAATCCACTGTGACATCAACAAATGTTTTATTGAAAATGTTATGCTAAAACTAGAGAGGTTTTGGTTGTCACAGGTTGTACCTCTGTTGTTTGATGAGAATGACACAGCGAATGAAAAAGGTCAGTACATAAATTGTAAAAATGATGTCTAAAATTTCTGGAAAAACTTTGGTTTGGTTCAATATAAGAATTTGTAAATAATTTACAAATACAGTGGCTGTTCTCATTGATTATTATTATTATTTTATTATTTAAGACACACAATCAACATCTGCAAAAGATGAGGACCACCAGAGCGTCTCTTCAGTTGTTGGTGCTGTGTCTGTAGAAAGAACCCCGAAATGCTATGTGAAGGATGAAGAACAACAAACTTGTTCTGGCCCCAACATATCTACCACCGTACCTGTAATAGATTTAGAGAAGACGGCAGATGCACACACCAGTATTCCAAGATATGTCGCAAATGGGGTTGATATTGATGGTCATGATATTAAATCATTGAATGCGGGTGTAATGATGAATGACAAAATTGTAAAAGTGTTGATGAGGTAAATAGTTTAAAGCACACATATAGCTATGTTCTGGGCCTTCATTTTTTCTCACACATTTTTTCTTTGTTATCAGTGACCACTTGTGCCCATTCCCTATCATTGACTACTTATTTTACTCAATCCTCACTGGTGAGCAAGATGGAGTACATAAAACAACATGGTAATTGAAAATTAAATCTTATTAAAAATTTCTTTGATTGCACCAACTTGACCCTTAATCAGTACTTATTTCTTTCCTAGTAAGTGTTGTTAAATGTCCAATCAAAAGCTCTTTGTTTGGTAATAGTATTGTACATGAGTTAAATCAGTAAGAAAATTTTCAATTTAAGGGAACAAAAATTTGAAGGAGCAAGAAAATATTTAACACCAGAGGAATATAAAGAAGATTATGTAGTTATACCTATTGTTCGCAGGTACACAATGTATTAGGCACTGTATATTTTGTAATATGTCAACAATTTTTAACACTGTTTTTTTTAAAATTTTCTTACAGATATCATTGGCTTTTGATGATCATCACTCCATGGTACAAAACTAATTTTTCCCATATCTTTGAAAACTTCAAATTTGATAACCTAATGCAAATGCTGAAAGCTCAACATCTTGTAGGCATATATTGGTTCTGGACTCATTAACACATGACTTGGCAACCAGATCAAAAGAGATTATCTTGTTACAAGGTGCAGTATTTTGTACATGTTGTTCATGTATTACAAAGTGTTCATTTAATTTACAAAAATTATTGCTAACTGTTTACAAATAATCCACCTATTTAGATATCTTGACAATATGTGTTCATTGAACAACACTGAGAAGAAACATACAAATTGTACACAGGCAATTTTAAAGGTACGGTACAAAAAGTTATTTAAAAAAAGCGAACTGGTTTTAGGAGAAATAATTATGTAAATGTTGATCTTATTAAACCTCGATCAAACTTAAGTACATTTTATTTAGGTTCCAATGCAGCATCCTGCAAGCAATGATTGTGGTATTTTTGTATCACTGTTTGTTAAACACTTTTTTGAGGTACAATGTTTGGTATGACATTTTCAATATGCTGTAAAGGAAACTTAACATGATA